GCATCTTAGTGGCTTTATTGCCTTTCTTGAGAGTGAAATGATTAAAAAATATATCTATTCAAAAACGTGTACTCATTAAAATGACTTTTATAGTAATCTTATATATCTATAATTCTCAAAATGTGTGTGTCTATATATGTGTGCGCGTGTGTGTGTGTGTGTGATCTATGTGTGTGTGTGTGTGATCTATGTGTGTGTGATCTATGTGTGTGTGTGTGATCTATGTGTGTGTGTGTGTGATCTATGTGTGTGTGTGTGTGTGATCTATGTGTGTGTGTGTATGTGATCGGATTTTGTTTATGCGTTCCCACAGTTTTCATCCGATTTCAATGATTTTTTGTTTGATAGATAATTCTTCAGTGCCTGTTTTGAGTCCAAATTGTTGGTGACAGTGGCTCTCCACTACTTCCTGTGCATTATAACTCTCAGCAACGTTTTCGTAATTACTATCTGTTCTTGGATATATATCTTTCATAAAAAAAAACTTTTATAAAAATAAATACTTTAAATTATTACAATAATAATAGTATCTATATCTATAATTCTCAAAATGCCTGTGTGTATGTCTGTGTGTGTTTGTGTGTGGGATCGGAAGTTGTTTATGCGTTTCCAGTTTTCCTCCGATTTCGATGAAACTTTTTGTTTGATAGATAATTACACATTCCCCTTCTCTTGGCCAAAAGTTCAATCTCTCTCAAGTGAGGTTACCTTTTCCATTTTCATAAAGCCTACTACTACAGTTTTAAGGCATTGCTTTCATTGTCGTTTATAGCCATTCCCAAATTAAATATTATTTTTTGTCCTACCAGTCTTTGCATTGCATTCGCTGTGTGACGTCGTCCCCCGGTCGCAGCGCCAACTGTGACGTTCTATCCTGATCTACCACGGCGCCAGTTGTTCGCTCCTCGCTGCTCCGTCCGGGTGTCGCTGCTCCAAACGTGACGTCCGCCTGTCGCGTCAGTCGTGTTGTCTCGTCCTGTGACGACCAACTGGCTTGGTATCGGTCGCGGCACCCAAATCTGACGTTCTAACCTCTTGGTGATTCGGGTGGGAATCTGGTTAGATTTGATATCAGCCTCGTCGTTCCCAACTCGCTTCCAACGCCTGGTTACCAAGGTAACTGCATTGATCTCAGTCTGCCCACCCACGTTGTGAATTGATCTTAGGCAGACGAGATCAAACAGTGGTTGAGGCCGTAATGCAAACTGAGTTCAACGGGGTGATAACACACAAATATGCATAAAAGAAAATAAAATGAAAACTCAAAAAGTTCAAAGTATCAAAGAAAAAGGTAACAAACTTTATGTCTAGTTGTTCGATACATAGGACTGCATCTATCTCCCGACCCGTTCTGTGGATTGTGACACGTCGATTTCCGTTAGGCAAGTTTTAACGCTTCAAGTTGTTTGCTCTCTAAAAAATTGGTTTTTCGGTGTGTCTTCGGACGAAAGTCGAAAAAAAAAACTTATTTCGGTGGTCTGGTTCTAAGTCGCTCTTCAAAATAATTGTTTTTGGGTTGAAGAGGAGTCCGAAATTTTGCGTGAATCTTGGTCAGCTATCTCGAGGCGGTTTCAACTCTGAAACTCAACTCTGCCGCCAGGGCCCGAACTGATTTCTGCCTGTTTCGTTTTTATTGACGCCGGCCAAAACCGGGGTGGTTCTGTTATGTCGGGGTTTCTCGATAATTCTAAATACATATCCACCTCTTTATTTCTGGTTAGGGATTTTCCACTCTTTTCCATTTTTGGTAACCCTCCTCACCCCCACTTTCTCTCACCATACCTCTGAGGGCGTGAACTACCCTCCCCACTTCTTCGTAGCAGCTTCTCATACTTATACTCTGGATGGGGCGTTGACAGCCTTCTTCGTACGTCACGTGATCACTCTCGGCCAATGAGGTCTTGGTCGGGTATCTTTCCTCCTCCTTTGTGCGTCACGTGATCACCACCTGACCAATGATGTCTTAGTCGGGCGTGAACAATCCGCGGCCTTGTTTCGGGAAAAAAATACCTTGCTTAACTAAAATAAAAAAAAATATCTCTTCTCTTTCCTTTTTCTTCCTTTCAAATCGCAGTTATCATTTCTATAGCCACGAACGGACAATATGACATCTCTTGTTTTACACGTGGTGTTTGTCAGGTAGTTTATCGCTAATTTATCGAGATGGTTGGTTTTCGTAACATGGGTTCAGAAAAGAAATATCTCCAAAATTTTCAGTCAGTCTGTCGCCTCCAAGGAAGAAATAAAAACACTTCTGGTTCCCATTCATTTTCCTTCGGTACATATGTCTGATAACATAATTTTATTATTGCAGGGTAACGTTGTTTCGTCGAAAAGAATTCAGTCAGCTGCACTGCCTGGGTGGCATTTAATTTTCATATCTGTCCAAAGTCCTTTTTAGTGTCCTGTTTCTCGTCACTTATCGAAATAGCATTTTCACTTGAATTTTTCCTGGGCAGTGGTCCAGCAATTCGTGTACGCACCTAGATAACATAGCCGTTATCAAAACACATCTGGTTCCTTCTTTCTTTTCCTTTTCTTTTTTTACTCAGAAATTCCCTGTCATTGTAATGACACACTTTTTCACTTGTTACTTATCAATATTTTCATTGTCTCTTAGGCCATGTGTGTGGCTGTTTTATCACCTACGATTCGTCTCGCCTTTCTTTCTGCCTTCCTTTCTTTCTCTTTCTTTCTCTGCCTCGTAAATGGTGCCACAGCTGTAGAAATAGGTAAGCTTGCTTTTTTATTACTCAACATTTATTTTTCCAACCTTTCCTAAAGTTATTCGAGCTTAGTGATCCTTGTAGCTTTATAGTGTTCTCTTTTTTATTTGCCCACGCATTCCATTTGACAATTCATACTTACCTAAGACATGCCACCAAAGAAAAGAACTTGCCTAGGTCGCAAAACCGCTGCCACCAGGTCCGCTATGCGAATAATAGATAACGAATCGTCTTTAGAATGTTCAATTTGCCTGTCTCAAAATGCCTCCCGGAATGCTTTAATTAGAGCCACTGAGCCCGAAGATTAACGTAGTCATCGGCTTTCCAGAAGGGCATACCTGAACGAGGGTACGAGGCTGAAACTGCTGATCTAAGGACTCAACGGCTGAGGAAAAACGCCTCTTGAACTGCTGTTGTGCGTGAGACAGAAACAATCTTTTCAGTGCCACCCGTCATTCAAATTGTTACCCAGCGCCATTTATGGATATGCCTCATTTGCACCCAATAATTACCATGTCAGTGTTCCGTTTAAAATGTGATAAAATTTAAATTTAGATATAGTTAAAACCTAATTCCTTTTTATCATTATATTTAATATCACTATATGGATACTAAATTATATCACTACATGCATACTATATTTCATTATATGCATACTAACTTATATATATTTACATTTATACATTTTTAATAATGTTATATTGTCCTTGTAAATACGTGTATGATCATATAATTAATAATATTGAAAGTTATCAATTTTTATTTGCCTATTTTTAATTAATTAAATATTCAATCAGTTTTATCTGTTCTTGATGTGGATCTCTGTTGTAGGTAATTTAAAAACAGTCAACAGAACTTTTATTGATTGTTTAATATTGTCGGTCTAGTTGAGCGCGTTTTGCCAGAATTTCGGTAAGCCTAAAAATACGTTAATATAAATGAAAACGACGTGGTATTACGATATATGGATGACATATCCCCGCCAGGGGCCTCCAGCCCACTCGTAACACAAATCAACGGTTCAATTATAAGAAGCTAAATATCTAAGATTTATTTTTATGGTTGGTGCGCGTGATATGTGCATGATACGCGTTTTTATTTTCTCTAGCAGTTTAGAAGCTGCCATGAGGATATTAGAATTTGGGAGACGCCATTTAGCTAAGGCCATGTTTCATTTACGATATTCTAAACGTGTTTAGACAATCTGACACATAACACACACACACACATATATATATATATATATATATATATATATATATATATATATATATATATATAGAGAGAGAGAGAGAGAGAGAGAGAGTATTTATGACGAAATCCTTTTTGAACAAGTTTCAACGTGCAGAAAACAGCTAAAAAAGAAAATGTCAACAATAAAAACAATTCTCAATATGAACACACATACAACGTACTGACTGTGTTCAGAAATTGAAACATTTCCATTGCTAAAAAGAAAATCTTTTAAATGGCCAATAGAAAAGCCCGGATCCACAGATAATTTGGATAGTTTTACACACCCTGTCCAGAAAAGAAACACGTACAAATGCAAGAAGTATATAGTAACAAAACGTTAATCGCTGTGCCTTGTGAGTCGACTTCAATGAATCCCCAATCTCTCTTTTTTTTTCTCTCTCTTATATATATATATATATATATATATATATATATATATATATATATATATACAAGTATAGACACCGGAAGTGTTGAAAAAAAATGGCTATTTTTGTAGTGATTTTATAACATATTTATGTTATAATTTTCGAATAAATAATTATATATATATATATATATATATATATATATATATATATATATATATATATATATATATAGTTCTCATCTAAATTATGCTGGTTCAGGTCAAAGGTATTTAGCATAGTATTTTCTAGAATACAAACTTTCAGAAACTATTTATTAATGAACTTATAAATATATGAATTTTCATGTTTTAAAATGAGAAAATTATAAACAGGGTTTTAGTTTTGCCTTTATTAAAAATTCATTTGGGATGATTAGGGATTTATTTAAACTTTTATTGAGTCCACCCTATTTGCAGTACATCTATAAAAATTGTTTTTTTTTATTTCTATTGACCCTGTTAACATTAAATTATTGCTTTAATTTAATTACCGCCAATTATACCCCACTTAGAAATTATTACTTTAATTTAATTACCCCCCAACACAAACTGCATTAAAAATTTAAACGAAAAATTTTATATTTGGATTTTTCCGTTATAAACTTGAATTTATTTCAACATAAATTCATTTAAAGAAAGAAAGAAAGAAAGAAAGAAAGAAAGAAAGGAAATTTTGTAGTAGTGGGAGGCAAAAAAAACAGAAAGGGGTAAAAATGAAGACAGAATGGAAAGATATCTTGGTGGGTGAATTTTTAACGAAACCACATACATACATATATATATATATATATATATATATATATATATATATATATATATATATATATATATATATAATTATTTATTTAAAATATGATTCCAAATCGCTACATAAGACGTCTCATGTTTCAGAACAAGAGCCGAAAACTTCAATATAATCCTTTAAATTAAATTGAGTTTAAATTAAAATGGGCCCGTTCCATCTTCAAGCGAAATTTTTGTTGAATAACGTATATCTGAAATTTATTTGTTTTAAAAATTGAAATCAAAATCTCCATGGTAACAGCAAGATTTTCATTTCAATTTTTAAAACAAGTAAATTTCAGTTCCTTCCTATTTTCTATATATTTTCATATATATATATATATATATATATATATATATATATATATATATAATTTATTTAAAATTATATATATATATATATATATATATATATATATATATATATATATATATATATATATAATTTATTCGAAAATTATAACATAAATATGTTATAAAATCACTACAAAAATACACATTTTGTTTCAACACTTCTGGTGTCTTATCGAGTGATGCTGTTGAATGTAGAATAAAGGCTTTCACAAGGTTCAAATCGAACAAACACCTCTCGATAGGGGAAAAGCTGTTACATAAGCTGCAATGACTCCTCAAAATACAAGTATACGAGAATTAAAAACGAACCTTGGTTATAATAATTAATGCTTTAATGTTAGGGTTAGATAAAGATAGAAATCATTCTAACTAATTAATATTGAATTTTACAATAAAATTGAAAATTAAAAATTAACAATTTTAAATTTAATCTATATTAAGTTAAAAATATTATAAAATTATTTAAAGAGGAAACTGAGTAAAAAAATAAATATATTTTGTTAATTATTTTGTTTTAATTAAAAAGGCCAACAAAATCTGATGTAAAGCTTCGTTACAATTTAGATACATTTGAAGTGGTGATATGAGCAGGGGAGGATGAAATCTTGCGAAATACAATACATACACAATCAGATTATAATACACAAACAAGTAGACATATTTAGATATATAAACATGCAAAAACACGAACGAAACAGGAAACAGATATCCACGACCCTTAAAAAAACCCGACAACATATACATACAATGCATGTATAAGCGATCATGCACACATACATTAATAAAGACATACACATATGCACACCTACAAATATTCAAATTTGAAAGTGTTAGTAAACGAATTCAAACAAACTATTAAAATGTTACTTACATGGTCAAAGATATATAGATAAAAAAAGGTTGAATGGATAAAATTCAAGAGGGATAGAACAGAAAACAAATATTCGTCAATGAACAACAGAAAGAAAAAAGACAGTAAAATATATAGAAATGAACAGAAAAAATAAATATATATGCATACACACACATAAAAAACACCAAATTCAAATGTCCAGGCAAAATGTAACACTTGAAATAAAACCAGCTAATATATAAAAAAGAAAACACATAAACACACAAATATATATAAACATCTCATATATACACATGAGTACAAATATATAACAATATATATAAAAATACATACATACATACGTATGTGTACACACATTCATCAGAACATAGAAACATACCATACGTATGTGTACACATATTCATCAGAACATAGAAACATACATAAATATACATACACACATGCATATATATACATATATATATACATTGATGTACCTATATACACACATATACATACATACACACATACATAAACATACATATACGCATATGCATATATACACACATAGAAATAAATATAAATATATCAACCTACGCAGTTATATAAAAAATTATATATATATATATATATATATATTTTGTTTAAAAATATGATTCCTTCGCTACATAAGAGTTCTCATGTTTCAAAAACGAGAGCCGAAATCATCCAAATAATTATTAAAATTAAGTTGAATTGTGGTGTTTAGTCCCGTTTCATCTTCAAGCGAAATTTTAGGAATAAGCTATCTCTTGGTTTACGTGTATTTTTAGGCACGGTCCGTTACAGAATTCGTTATTGTGAAGATGTAACGGGGCTAAACACCTCAATTCAATTTAATTTTAATAATTATTTGGATGGTTTCGGCTCTCGTTTTTGAAACATGAGAACTCTTATGTAGCGAAGGAATCATATTTTTAAACAAAAAAATATTATAATATAAGCTCTATTCTGTATGGAGCACTGTCTTCTTAAAAACAAAAACACTAAGGAACTCCGGATTATGCTCCCAACGTGTTCTTTTCTATTTTCTGCATACCTGCGCACAACGAAATAAAAGCCAAAAAATTAAAAAAATATTTAAACATTTTAAAAAAAAAAGTTTCTGGTGTACCATGATCTCAAAAACAATCAATCCTCATAGAAAAAAAGAAATTTGAAAACGACCCACCTAAGCGTCGTATGGGCCTTGCATAGATGCCACCACGACCCTTCGGTTGGTCGTATGAGAGCCAACTTATTAATAAGATAACTGACAGCAAGGTTTCAACAACAGCAGCAACTGCTGTAGAAACAAGACGCCTCAGTGAGTGCAGTCAAGGATGACAACAGCAGCACAAATCAGCAGGCAGCTGAGGTTACTCATGTCATACATTTTCTCTCTTATGTTAAAATACTTCCCAGATGTTTAAACTTTTGTAATTGCTCGATGTTGAATTCCCCAATTCGTAACTCGCATCTTGGGATTTTCCTCTTGCTGATGACCAGACATTCTATGTCCTTTTTTTTTTTGCAGTAGATGATTAGTCATTTTCTTTGTATTTTGTAGCTGTTTTTAAGCTCGGTTTTTTGGATAGTTTACAATATGTATTAGTCACTCCATTTTATCATACAGCTTTTAATTTACGTCTGAATACCGACGAATACATTCGCAAATGACGCTAATATAAACTTTTCAACGGATATTGGGAGGCGACAAATGTATCTTTACTCCAAATTTTACTTCATGTCCAAATATTATTTCATGTACACATCTAAAGACTATTTACTTATTTATTTTTTAAAATCTAATCATAAAATTTATTGAAACAAAACAAGTACAGTTCACCACTGATGACAATTCCAGAACAACATAACTATAAACAATTTTTTTCTAAACCTCTGCCAGCCGCAATGATGGAGAAAGCATTACCTTATTTATTTATTTATTTATTATTATTATTATTATTATTTTCTTTGATTTCTGGTATATATTCATTTCTTTCTGGGTCTCAACCTAATGTCAGAAATGGCACCATGGCATTTTCAACTGAGCATTTTTTTTGGGGGAAAATAAACAAAATCCCTAAGATCATAGCCCTTTGTAAGGTATGGTGAGTACATTATTTTTATGTTTCTTTAAGGCCTGTGCTATCAGGCATTTCTTCAACGAGTTTATTTGAACCTTTTCCAATCAATACGTGATGATATTCTCGTGTGCCACGTTTTTAGATTTAGATTTCAAGATCCTTTTATTTTTATAGCTTTTAAAGATCTTCAAAGTCTGCAGGGACCGCCATGTCAATAAGAAAGCATATTCTGTTTTCGTGATCTTTGATCCCAATGTCTGGATGATTAGTTTTCAGTGTTCTGGTTGTGTGTATTTTAAAGTCCCATACAATTTTTACAGGTCCTATCTCTGTAACCGAGTCTTGGTGATGTTCATACCAGTTTCTTACAGTTTCATTCACATAAAGGTGCATATTTTCCACTGCTGATATTGCCACCCCTTCTATCATGTGTGCTTGGTAATTTCTAGTTAGCAAGTATTGGTTCTGTGCAGCAAGAATAATACTTTTGGTTTCAGTTTTTATCAATGCATTACATAACCGCTGTTGGGTACGGGGTCTGTTTAGTTTTGATTGTTCTGTCTCTGCGTATTGTAAAATCCCATAAAATTGCTAAAGGTCTTATATTTGTAACTGGGTCTGTGTGGTGTTCATAACAATTTCTTGCAGATTCTTTTGCGTAAAAGTTGCAGATTTTCCAATGCCGATATTGGCCCACTCTATCATGCCAAGTTTTAAATTCGCTGAGTGTTAATACCGTACAATCGAATACAAGATGTTCAGTAGTTTTGGATATTTATCACAGAATCTGTATTTTAGGCTAAAATAATTTTTCATTATGTGTGCTTGGAAATTTCTAGTTAGCAAACGTTGGTCCTTTGCAGCAAGAATTATTATTATTATTATTGGAGTAGTAGTAGTAGTAGTAGTAGTATGTTGGTGGCGCACATTGGCGTATTCGATGGAAATTCTGTTCTTGAGGCATGGTGCTAACAGAACTCCGCATAACTCAAGAACTTTACGGATTAAATGACGGCAGTTTTCTGGAGCTATATAATCTTGGTCTCAGTTCTAACTCCCCTAATTGCTCTTTAAATTTTCTAGGTGTTGTTCCAAGCCTTCTCATTACGACAAGAATTGGTTCTACATTTATATTCCATTGCTTCTTCAGCTCCGTAACCAGATCTGTTTTTTTTTCTTTTTAATTTTCAGTTTCTTTGGACTATTCTTCTTGTATCATATGTAACACGAAAGTCAATAATTTGATAATTATCTATATCTATAAGGTCGGTTCTACGTGCTTTAATGACACGACCTGTATGGACTGAGAAAGTTCATATCATTATTATTATTATTGTATATCAAAAGGAGGCACGGTGACGTAATAGATAGCGGCTCGGATTGAGGAATCGGAGAGGCGAGTTTGAATTCCATTCGAATCCATTACATTCACTTACGTACTAATAACTTTGGGAAAGGTATGAATCCGCTTCTCCGCCCCCAACTATGGATAAATAGCAGGACAGACCGGGTTCTATGGCCCTGCATGGCAACTGGTCTACCGTAAAAATAAATAGCAACCTACTGCGGGAAAAAAAATTACCTCGCGAGTCCTGTATCGAAAGTTTCTAGGACGCATAATGGAGAAAGGAGGGCCTAGAGAATCTGATACTCACGGGTCGAATAGAGAGAATGAGTGACAAGGGAAAACAACGCGTGACATACGTGGGATGGGGGTTTAAGCAAGTGGATGACTGAACGTGGCCTGGGGGTGGAAGCAGAGGGAAGGAACTTGTTGAGACCTGCAAAGGATAGGGATCACCATGATCACCTGAAAGGACTTGGCACATAAAAAGAAGGAAGAAATGTTGTTAATACTGTTTATTATAAACAGAGCATTTACTTAATATTTGTGTCTATATAAATAACGTATAAGAATAAAATATATTAAAATACATTCTTATGTATACACAGTCGGTTTCTTCATGATCTTTGATGTCTCTGCTCATTAATGGGCCTAGAATCTGGGAGATTTAGTGAAAACAATAGGGACTGTCACAAAATGATTTGTAATAAAGGACATGGCTTCATCTCAGAAATTCAAATACAACCCATTCTTGAAAAACACGCGATCATCATGCGTCTTTTCTTGTAATACTAGGGTATTATACGTCAAAGGGAAGATTGCTTTGTTTTTGAAGGTCCGTAATAAAAGCGAGTCGCCCACTGGTCGTCTGCCATTTACAATTCTTTATTTAAATCCATTTCCTTTCAGCTAGAATTTTGTATTCCCGTTGCATTTCTAATACTTCTCACTTGTCGCTATTATTTGCTCGTGTGCGCCAATTTAAGCGTCCTGTCTGTGACATTTTGCCTCTTTGCCATGGACTTCCACCTACCAACGTTGATTTGTTGTCGCTATTTCAAAACTTGAGGCAGCGAATTACATTTCGATTCAGCTTCCGATGAGAAGAAGGAAATGGTGTCGAAAAAAGAGGAAGAATGAAAATGAATGTAGATGATATAGAGAGAAGAAAAAGGAGGAAAATTTAAAGCAGGATAGGAAGAGAATGAAGAAAATAGAAGGGAATGTGCAAAGTAAATGCTAAAAAAAAATTAAGAAAAAGGAACAAATGAGAAAAAGATGAAAACAGATATAATGAAAAAAAGAACAGGAAGAAAAGGATTTTTAAAAGATAGAAGTAAATGAGACAGAACAAAAAAGACAGAAGGGAGGAAAAAAGTGAAGATGAAAAAAAAAAAAAAGATCTAGAATGAAAAATAAAAAAGGGGGAAAAGAAAGAAAAAGTAAGAAAAAAAGGAAGATGAAGAAAAGGGTTTAAAAGGTGGCAGTAAAGAAAAGAAAACAAAAAAGACGGAATAAGGAAGAAAGTGAAGATCGAAAATAAAACAAAATGATCTAGAATTAAAAAGAAACAGGGGAAAAGAAAGAAAAAAAAAAGGAAAAAAGGAAGACGAAAAAGAAAGAGAAAATAACGAAGAAAGAATGAGCGAAGAAAATACTACGGAAGAACTGAAGAATTGAGTCGATTTATACGGTTTATCACTCCTTTGCAGGTTATTTAAAGCCAGATAATTTTTTAGCGGGATATATTAATGGTTTAGTGAACAAATCTTACTAATTAAGCCAGATCTGGCATGGAGAAGGGGATAGGTACATACTGTTGCCAAGGGTAGTTTAGTATAAGCGAATATATCAAATCCAATAGGAATTAGAACTCGACACTCCGATTAACAATTTCGAACAATTATCCATTAGAGCACCACTAGAAACTTACAGCACCTGTTATTCCCAAGCGGTAACCCATCACGGTAGCGACCAAACACGATATTGCTTAACTTCGTTGATCGTAACCGGTGTTTCAACTTGATGTGGACGTAAAAAGAAGGAAAAAGAACTTCGAGGAAAAGGGAAAGAAAGAGAAAGAAAAAGAGGACGAATAATTATAATAAAGAGGAAATAAATTAAGATAAAATAGAAAAGACAAAGAAAGAAAGAAAGAAAGAAAGAAAGAAAGAAAGAAAGAGGAAAGAAAGAGGAAAGCGAAGAATAATAGAATATATAAGCTAGAAGAAAAAAGAAAAAAAAAGAAAGAAAAGATATGGAAGTAGAAAGAAAAAAAAGATCGTGTAAGGAAGACAAAAAAGAAAACACTTAAATACAAATGAGAAATATAATGTTTTTATATGTGATCGATGTAAACGCTATTAAAGTGATTGATTTCTTAACAATGCAAAATCGATTATATCGATCAACCCCTACGAATGGCACAAAGCTGGACTAGTATATCGGCTGACTCGTTCAAAAAGATTTGAATGAGTCGTTAAATGTCGACATTGTAATAAAAGAATAGCAACAACAATTTTACAAATGTCTGAAGCTCATTTTCGGCGACATTACTTAAATAAACGTGTCCTTTAATAATGAACAAACTGTTTATATAATTCTTGTTATCTCAATGAGGTTCTTTTTTAATAAGTGTGTCAAAGCTTTCACTTGCTCTAACGATTATATATACAGAAATGTATCACGTTCTGAAAAAGCTTATAATCTGGGTCGTGTAATAAGAGACAGCGGAATATGTGACATAGATATCTGAAATAACATTGGCATTGCGAAAATGGTTTTCTAGAAACAAAGCAGTTAGCACAGAGTAATATTTCGGCATTTTTTACCATTCGTGCTCGCAATGAAAAGGTGTGTAAAAAGGACAGATTTTCCATTGAGACCGCTATTGTTTTAACTACCTTCACTCCCTCAGCAATGTTTGCTGTTTTAAAAAGTGATGATTAGATTTTTAATAAAACCTAAACATTTGATTTATACATTTTCTGTGTTCTTTGAGAATTTCTAAAAAAAATAAATAAATAAATAAACATTATTTATTTATTTGATTGCTGTTATTTACAAGAATAATTTTATATTTACAACATTCTAAAAATGGGGCCCTAAAATACAAACCGACTAATACAATGCAATATTTATCATTTATCAATTTATGAAGAGAAAGACTGTCATGTGATGACAGAGTATCTGATACTCACGGGTTAAATAGAGCGAAAGTGAGACAATGGAAAGCAGCGCATGACATACCTGACAAGCTTGAGCAGGTAGATGACTGAGCGTGGTCTAGGGAAGGAGGAAGATGGAAGGAACCTGCTGAGAGCTGTAAGGGATATAGGGAGGTGGAGGGCCATGATCGCCTACGTCCTGAAAAGATATGGCATATAAAAAAAATATCCACAGGGTGTATTGTGGAAAATCGATTAGCGCGAACAACCTAAAAATGAATTTGGGAAACGCATGGCAGAGCAGGAGGATAAAGAGTCGAAAATTTGTTTATAGCTGCAAGGTAATTAAAGGCCATTACAGAGAAATGGTGATGATCAGATTCAAGTGAGAGATAAAAACTCTGGTTCTGCACAGTGTACTAACAGACGACGGAAAATGCGACACAGACATCCGAAAATGGATTGGAATAGCGAAAGATACCTCCCAGGAACTAAGTAAAATCTTTACAGATGCCGAAATAATAGCAAGAACGCCGAACTACTTTGTCAATATCTATCTTCCTGTATGACAGTGAATGTTGGACAGCTTCCTTACGGATGAAGAAGAGACTTAGAACGACAGAGACGTAGTTCAATAGATGGATGCAAATAATACCAGGAAAATGGAAAACGAAAAGTTACTCATACTAAGACTCATAAAGAGACAATTGAGATATCAGATGCTGTGAGCTTGGATGTGCGGGTGGTATAATGGCTGAAATTGTTAATCGGAGAGCCGAGTTCCAATTCCCCTTGCGTTTGTTAAATTCACTTACGTCCAAATAACCTTCCTTCCCGCAAAAAAAAAAAAAAAATGTCAAAAAGTAGCGTTTTACCCTTGACGCCGCTAATATTTTGTACTACATTCATTCCCTCGGCAATGTTTATATATTCGAGATTTTGAAAATGTTTGAACCAAGTATGACATTTATTATTTACTCTTTATAAAGACTTCTTATATGCCATTTTATAAGGAAATATATGTGAGAAGAAATATTTTTATTCAAAAATTTAAAAAGAACTTTCAATATTACTAAAGTATGTAAAACATCTACATTTAATATTTATTATTCAATATTTTATAAACAACTATAAAAACAATGTTTTTATCCACAATTTTATAAAGATATCGATGAATGTTGTCAACGTTGCTTAACACATTGTGGTAGACGAATTTAGCACTAATAAATATCAATGACTGAAATATTTTATGAATATATTATTTGGTGTAGGTTGTTCGCTCTAATCAATTTTCCTCAATACACCCTGTGGATATTTTTTTTATATGCCATATCCTTTCAGGACGTAGGCGATCATGGCCCTCCACCTCCCTATATCCCTTACAGCTCTCAGCAAGTTCCTTCCCTCTTCTTCCTTCCCTAGACCACGCTCAGTCATCCACCTGCTCAAGCTTGTCAGGTATGTCACGTGCTGCTTTCCCTTGTCTCGCTTTCCCTCTATTTAACCCGTGAGTATCAGATACTCCAGGCCCTCCTTCCTAATTATGTGTCCCAGAAACTTCAGCTGCTTATTTCTGATGTTAGGTATAAGCCTTCTCCTTGATTTCAACCTAAGACCTCATCGCTGCTTACAAGCCCGGTCCATGAAGCCTCATAAATATGATGCTATAATTAATGAAGACTAATAAACGATGTTACAGGTAACGTCGAAACGGAGAGGGCCACACTATAGCTTTTTCAGTCATTGATATTAAGCAAGTTAAGTTAAACAACGTCGAGCTTGGTTAGTACATAGATGGGTAACAGGTGCTGTAAGCCTGTAAGTGGCGAGTAGTGTAATGGATAATGACTCAGAATTGTTAATCGGAGATCCGAGTTCCTGTACGAACACCGAAGTTAAGCAACGTCGAGCCTGGTTAGTACCTAGATGGGTGACCGTTTTGCAATACCAGGTGCTGTAAGCTTGGATGTACGAGTGTTGTAATGGATAAGAGCTCGGAATTGTTAATCGGAGTGCCGAGTTCCTATACGATCACTGAATTTAAGCAACGTCGAGCTTGATCAGATCCTAGATGAGTAACCCGTTGGGAAGAATACTAGCTGTAAGCCTACATTTGGGAGTAGTGTAATGGATAATGACTCAGAATTGTTAATCGGAGATCCGAGTTCCCATGTAATCATCGAGGTTCAGCAACGTCGAGCCTGTTCAGTACCTAGATGGGTGACCGTTTGGGGATATAAGATGCTGTAAGCTTGGATTTACGTGTGGTGTAATGAATAAGTGCTCAGAATTGTTAATCGGAAGGCCAAGTTTCTTTAGGATCACTGAAGTTAAGCAACGTCGAGTTTGGTCAGCACATAGATGGGTAACCCTTTGGGAATAACAGGTGCTAAAAGCCTGGATGTTGGAGTAGTGTAATGGATAATGACTCAGAATTGTTATTCTGAGATCCTAGTTCTCGTGCGATCACCGAGGTTAAGCAACGTCGAGGCTGCTCAGTACCTAGATGGGTAACCGTTTGGGAATACCAGTTTGGATGTGCCAGTGGTGTAATGGATAATGGCTCGGAATTGTTATTCTGAGATCCGAGTTCTCGTGCGATCACCGAGGTTAAGCAACGTCGAGGCTGCTCAGTACCTAGATGGGTAACCGTTTGGGAATACCAGTTTGGATTGCCAGTGGTGTAATGGATAATGGCTCGGAATTGTTAATCGGAACGCCGACTTCTAATTCACGTTGGTGTCGTCGAGGCTCACTCCTAGATGCAAATACATTTGGGAAAAGTATGAATCCACCCAGCTCTGGGTCAATTAATAAAACTTGTATCACTAAAATCATTATTATATCAAAAAAATGAAATAGAATAAAACTGCGTATAAAAAATAGATTTCTGAGGTTGATATATCGTTAAACAAAAACAATTAACCAATCAACGACAACGGTAAAACTACTAGGCACCCAGTGAGGAACAAACTCATTCTATTATCATTGATATCTTCGCGGACCACTGCAGTAAAATGCCCAGCGATATATTGTCAACAATCTTTTGAGGATGAATTCGATTCTCATCGAGTTATTCATTTCTGTGGCCTTGTGCCAAATTAGTAAGTATCTAAAGTGTTTCGAAAGTCTCTTTGATCGGATGACATCTATACAGAAAGGTTCCTGGAAGTTTTATTTCATGTTTTTTTTCGACCTTCCTGTTGAAAACTAAAGAGTTCTGGAGAAATTATGTCTCAGGAAATCTATCATCCGAGCCGAGAAGAATTATAAGTGGTAAGCGTATACGGTGGCGACTTTGCGTGAAAGGTGAGAGATAACTGCTTCGACGTTGGCAGTTTAATTTTGACAAGTTCGAGCATTCCCAGATGATAAAACAAAAATTAAATCGTAGAGGACTTGATTTAAAAGATCATGATTATTTTCATTCGCAAATTTTTCTTTGAAGCTAAAACGTGGTGATTCAGCGTTAAATTTAAAAAAAAAAATCTTCTAAGAAGAATTATTTCTTTGGTATGACCAGGTAAAAAGATGTTGGCAATAGTGTAATTGTAAGGCAGACGAAGGTAGAAGAACAGAAGTATACTACTAATACTAATACTACTACTGCTACGAAGAAGAAGAAGAAGAAGAAGAAGAAGAAGAAGAGGAAGAAGGACGAGGATGACGAGAAACGAGAAAAATAAGAAAGAAAAAGGAACACAAAGTAAAAGAGAGGAAAAGAAAAGAAAAAAATAAAGAAAAGCGAATTCTATATGGATGTGAAATGTGGACACAGTTGGCAGATACAGAGAGAAGGATCCAAGCGTTTGAGAACAGATGCATGTGAAAACTCCTTGGCATTTTATTGTGAGCGGAAACTACCTACACAATAGACTCTTCCAGGCCTATATTAAGTAGGCGACATAGCACTCTAGAGAGTGATATCGTAAGCTCCGTCTTTTTCCGACTTTTTTGACCGGTCGGTTTGAATTTCTTTTTTGTGATTGTGTCTTTTTGTTTTTGAAGTGCGACGAACTTGTTTTTGACCCACGAGGATTTGCTGCAAGTGCTTGACGAACTTTATTCGACCCACCAAGTCTTTCTGTTAAGTTTTTATTTAAGTTTTTCTTTTTCTTTCTTCTTTTTCCATTTCTTTTGTTTGTTTGAAATTATTTTTCTGGGCTTCGGCCCATTTTATTTTTTTTAGTCCGGTTTGACGTAGTCTTACCGGACGACTGCTTTTTTTCTGTTTATTTCTTTTCAGTGTTTTAGTACAGTTTAAGAAAAGTAGAAAAAGAAAGCTTTTATTTTTATTTTATACCTTCCCTTTTATTTTTTTTAATTAGCGATTTCGGTCGCTTTTTTTTTTTTTTGGTTTGACTAGTTTGTTTTTCTTTGACTTTTTAATTTATTTTCCTTATCGGCTTCGGCCGAAAACCTTTTTTTTCTCTGTTTACAAACCAGACTTTTTTTTCTTTTCTTTTTCTTTTGTACATTTTTATTGAATTTGTGAAAAAAAAAGAGGAGTTTCTGTTTTCGTTTTTTTCTTTTATTTTTTGGCAGCCTTTGGGCGCCATTTTTAATTTTTTTTACTTGGCTATTTTCTGTTAATCTAGTTTGTCTTTTATTATTCTTTTAGTTTTCACAGTTCATTTTTAAAAGTTTATTGTCTTTGTTGTTTAATTTACTGGTGCATCCAGGTTTTTCTTTATTTGTTTAATTTTTTCTTTTTTTTCTCAACTGCTTTCCCCAAATTTGGAGATAAATATAGATACCCGCAGGTGGTAGTCGCCACGCGGAAGCAATATGGCCGACGGTGCCGGTCGGTCGAGTGTTAAGAAAGACCTTTTTGGGTCAGCTGCGAAAGCTGACCCACCGGATAAACCCGATAAAAAGCGGGCTAATGATAGCCCAAAATTAGAACGTGCTAGTACCTCCAAAAAAGGAGATACAAGCAAAAACGACAAGGTTCCAAATGAGGCTCAAGCTAAGACTGCTGAGGAGTTGCCCTCTTGTTGGAAGTCCCCACCAAGTTGCATTCTGAACATGGCGGATTTCTTGGAAAAGGCGAAAAATTATGCCCATCTTGTAAATAAAGAGGGGCTGGTCGAAGTAGTCCAAGAAGACGATGTGTTCTCAAAGAGAATGGTGTCCGTTTTCGTGGTCGACAAGAAAACACGAAAGATTTGTCGCTCCACGAAAGACATAGTGATTAAATCACTTTTGTCCCTGGGGATAAAACCCCAAAGAATTATTAAAGGTTCTGGTTTTTCATGTGGGACATTCTGCTGCCCACGCCAGAAGATTGCCTTGCTATGGCAAAAAGAGAGCTCATTACGAAAGATCTAATTTTTAGAACCGAGTATGAAGGCCGCAGAAGGACCAGGGGTGGCCGTTTTTGAGGTTCCTCCTCAAATTTCCGGAGAGCACCTGGCTGCATTTTTTTTATGCAGTACGGCCAAATTTTAGGGGCTCTCTCGGACAATTTGAACGGGGGATGGACTTTTGATATCATGCTTGACCAGAATGCCTTCAAGTCCGTCCCCAACTGTTTGGGTTTTATGACTGGAAAATGCCGGTCATAGTGACCGGTAGGAAACCAACTTGCTGGAGGTGTGGAGAGACTGGTCACCTTCCAACTCCTGCCCAGGGAAGAAGGCCCCTGGAGTTCCGGTCGCAGGCGACCAAAATCCCCCCTTGGCCGACAAGGTAAAATCCGCGACGCCTGTAGTGGGCCTAGCTGCGGGGCGGACCGGTGCGGAAAAACCCTCGGTTGGGTCCCTACCCACATTACCCCCTAAACCAACGCCTTCCACAAGTGTGGACAAGGAAAAGGATGAGGGGAATGGCGCCCTCGTAGTTAGGGGCAAGGGAAGACCCAAACAGCGGTTCCTCCGTCCCATCATGACCCCAGGGACACTAACACCTACAGCCCCATTCCCTCTACCAGCTCTGAGGGCGACGCCTCGGCGTCTTATCGGGAGAATGCAACGGTTACCCAGAAATTAAATGAACCAAGCTGGGAGAAGATTTTGGACCTTAAGAAGCTAAAAGATAAACTGGAGACAAAACGAGGGAAAAATCAGAAATCGCTGGGGGCACCGGGCCCCTATCCTTTGCCCCGTCTTCCCCTTCTGCTCCAAAAAAATCATTCACAAAACCACCTCCGCCCAAATCTGTTTCAAACTCCCCGGCAAAATCTCTACATTCTGGCAAACCCTCTCCGGTGAGGACTCCTTCGGGATGGACTCCTTCTACGACACCCAACCTCACACCCATGTCCACTCCCATTCATTCTCCTAAAAAAAAAGGTTCCGTAGCCCGGAGACACAAACTGTCACAGATAAAAAAAAAAAAAATCATCAAACCACCGTATTTCCTCGGGGAAGACGTCTGCCGCGTATCCCGGGACCAGGCGGATAGGGTTTTTGGTCAAACCAGGAACCCGAAGGACTTAAAAGGCCTATGGAACTTCCATAAAATTAATGATTTGGACGTGGAAAAACCGGAAAATTTCCTTCGGCAAGAAGAATTTTGACCGTAGTTCGAACTGGCCCGGGTACGCGGGAGATTTGGGGCATGATAGAGGAGGCCCAGTCGTCTCTAAAAATGGTGCCCCCAGCTGCCTACCTACTCGATCCGGAAACAGAGGAAGCAAATCAAAAACTGAAAGGGAGGGTCCCCGTTTTCGTTCACCCATCCCTTTATAGGGCGCTAAAATTAACTTACCCCTCGGACATCGGCGGCTTGTCGCAAGATGATACTATCGAAAATGAGATGGCGTCTGGATCTATGGGACGAGCTGTCGGTGTCCTCACCCCAGCCATGTTCTATCCTGAAGGGCAACCCTAATCGGTTTCACAATGGCACTTTGGTTAGCTAGTTTGAATGCCCGGGGCATGAGGTCCGAGTCTCGCAGGGCGAGGCTCTCTCGTGACCTTCAGCGCCTCGGGGTGAATATATGTTGTTTACAAGAGAC